AGCTCCAATAAGCTATTTCCTTTTCCCAAGGCTGTGAGAACTGTCTCCAAAAATAAAAGCTATATCATTTAAGAAGTACTTGAATTTGCAAACATTTCCCCCTAGCAGCTACAAAGCAATATGCAGAGATAGTCATTAATAATGATAGTTATAGCTATTAAACACTGGTTAAGAGAACTTTTATTTTAACAAGATGTTATTTGTCAACTAAGCAAAACACAAATGTACTCTAATTGTTAAAATAGCAATTAACTCTGAATACATAATTTAGTATGTTTTTCTCAATTGTAAAAACAGTCATCATTTTCCTGCTCCTATACATACATTGTTCGTACTACTTATGTCTCTCATTCATATTAATTTAATGTCTTTACTTTTCATTTGGATAGACATCTGAATTCTGGTGCTGTGCCCTCTATAAAGGTCTTTCAGAAATAAGTTAGCTATGTATCAAAGGCAGTTGTTTAAATAAGCATTCAATTCTGACAGCTTTGCTCTTGATATTCTTCATAGCAACAGCTGGGGGAAGCTCCTTACCATCAGGCATGGGTTTCCTTTGTCATGTTTTCTTTTCATTCTCCAATCAAAGTAAATCTGTCCTTCTACTAACTAGGCTTTGCCCTGGAAAATCTATCTACTGTATAATAACAGTCGTGGTCATGATAACAAGTCTGAAAAAAAAAGCCTAATTCACCCTTATGAGGAAGTAGAAAGTGATAGATTAATTGTTTTTAGTCCACGGGTCAATATAGCCTTATCAGTGTTATATGGCTGATAAAATAAGTAGTGTAGGTTTCTTAAGTGGTATGAGTTGTCAAATAGGAAGTGTCATTAGCTGACTAAATCAAAAGCCATTTCACTTGAAAATATGAATGATAAGAAGACAGAGCTACTAGTAATCATACTTGCCTGTTCCCAAAATTTTCAAAGATAAAACCATCTTTATAAATTGTCTTTTTTGCTACCTATTTACAATAAGGGAGAAAAATCCATTGTTGACTCAAGATAAAAGGGGCACAAAACTTTAAGTCTTAATCCCTGCTTCAGGCTAATAGCAAAAATATTTTTCATATTTAGTTCACCTCTGTTGCAAGATTCCCTTGACAAAAATACTTCAGAACTAAATTTTACAGATGAGAAAAACCTCTTCAGCTTGTGTGTGTGTGTGTGTGTGTTTGTGTATGTGTGCAAGAATCAAATTCAAGAAAAAGAAGACCTAGGTATAAATTGAACCTAAAATATATTTGCTTTCAGTGGTGATATTTTTCATGTACTGGAACAATTCATATTTTAAATTTGTACTATAAACCAATACATGAATCGTATGACACCTTATACTTATAGACCCAATATAAAAATAGCTTTACCTTTATTTCTAATCATGGCACTGAAGAGCTTCTGTTGTTTGGGCTTATGGTAAGTGATTTATTCAAATAGTACCTTTCTATGTAAAACTGATTGGAATAAAACGGAAAAGAGTCATAGCTAACATTTATATAGTGCTTTAATGTGGAGTTTGTGTGTGTGTGTGTGTGTGTGTGTGTGCATGTGTTTGTGTGTGTAATCATCATGGAATGTAGTGAGTTCTCCTCTACTGGAAGTGTTCAAGCAAAGGGTGGATGACCACCTTCATAAAGGATATTATAGGGGTGATCTATTCACTAGTTAGGGATTGAAGCAGATCCTGAGACTCCTAAGATCTCCTCTATCCTGAAAGTCAATGATTTTCTTAATTTCTCATTACTGCTAATCTAGTCCACAAGTTCATGAATGAATTTGGATGTTTCTACTAGGATATTTCCTCTTATCTCATCCAGCTCCATTAAGCTATCTCTTTTCCCCAAGGCTATAAGAACCGGCTCTAAAAATAAAAGCTATACCATTTAAGAAGTACTTGAATTTGCAAACATTTCCCCAGCAACTACAAAGCAATATGCAAAATATCCCTTAATAATAGTGGCCCAAATAAAAATAATAATGATTTCATATATATATATATATATATATATTTAATTCAATTTGGACCTCACAACAACCTTGTGAGTTAGGTGTTATCTCCCTTTTGCAGATGAATAAACTGATGCTAAGAGAGTTTCATTGACTTGCTCAGGATCACACAGCTAATGAGTGTCTGAAGCAGAATTCAAATTCAGGTCTTTCTGATTCCAATTCTACCACTCTATTCACGATGCCAGCTGGACCTATCTGTCTTGACCACAATTTTTCCATTCTGATAGAACTAAGAAATAAAATGGACTACATCCAAGAATACAAGGTAATCCAAAAATTTTCTAAATCTCCACTTTTCATCAAGATTTCCTTCCTTTTTTTCTTGTTTCTGATCTGACTATAAAACTAAAGAAAGCAAATGTTTTTTCAGTTCAGTGGCCATCGCCCTTCTTATTTCTTCTCTTTTCCATTTTACTTCCATTATGTCACCATTAGAAATGAATTCTATTTGCTGCTCTTCTTAGTCTCCATCCATGTAAGTCTTCCCCTGTTGCCTCATCACTGGTATAAATGAAGCTGGGTTCGCAAAGATATGCCAGCAAAATATAAGCTAGCATGTTCCTAGAAAGACCTGAAATCCAGTTCTAGTGAAGGACTTAGGTTTATCATCCAAGGGTCAGCCTAACTGATCTCTGAGAGGCTTATCGCCAGAGTACTGGACACCAAGGCGTGATCTGGTAGGGCAGGGGAAGACAAGAGTGGCAGAAAACTCACAAAACTATCTATCTTCTGAAGAAGCAGATAAACAGAACAGTGAATATGCTGGACTTAGAGTCAGAGGGATATGAGGTCAAAAACTACATTAGTCACTTACTAGCTATGACTCTGAACAAATCACATAACCTCTTTGGCCTCAGCTTATTCACCTGAAAAATGGAATAATAGCATCTACCTCATAGGATTGTTGTGAGAATCTAATGAGTTATCATATGTAAAGTGTTTTGCAAACCTTAAAGCATTATATAAATGCTTCCATCATCATCATCATCATCATCATCATCATCATCATCATCCAAGTGGCTCCTATCGTCAGCTGGGAAAACATCCAGTAAGCTGTGTATCTATTCCAACATTATCCATCAGTTACTGGGGACTTGGAAAGTGTAACATGATTCTGAATAAGAATGTCATTAGTTTACAATAGACCTTAAGCTCTATTAGAAGGTCAATACTGGAGTCATCTTTGCCTTAAAATACAGCATTGTAAATATAATATAAAGATACTTTTAGTCAAACTAGTTCAACGATTAGTTGTTACTAATTTAATCTTTTTCTATCATTTAAGATTCATTTCCACTGAAAATAAAATAAACTGAGACGAGATTTATGGGTAATTTCAGTGACTATTTTCTACTTAAAGTGGGCATTACAAATTCATAAATATGACAACTGATTTAATCTGCCACTCGTACTTTATATTGAGGCTGCTATGTGATTTTAGTACAATATAATTTATATTGATTGCTGTGTTTCCATTTGCTTTGAACTCTTTGCTCATTTGATTACATTGATTCTAACAGCCCAAGCCATTCTGATTGGTATGGCTGGTAGTGCTTTATACTCTACCATGAAACTGGTAAAATAATCATTCATTTGATGAATTGTTAGAAAATTAATCTAAATCTCAAGATGTGTAATCAGTCTCAAGCATTTTGAAATAGATTTAAAATAATGGCAATGAAAATACTGACCCTCAGTTCTTTTCTTAGGTTCAATTAGAGATGCTCATCAGAATCCTCCAATTCAATTACTGAGTATTTAGTCTAGACATGAGAGAGAGGACATGCACATGCTTAATTAAAAAGCACCTATACTGGTATGGTTTATTTATGTGGCCATAAGGCAGTGTCATGGATAGGGTGCTAGACTTGGTATCAGGAAGACTTGCTTTTGGGTCCTGCCTCAGACATTTCATAGCTATTTTACCTCGGGCAAGTCACACAACCTGGCACATCCTAGAAAGAACTCAAATACAATTCTAGGAAAGGATTTATCCAAAAGTCAGCCTAGTTGAACTCTGAGAGATTCATCACCAGAGCAATGGCTACCCAGGGATGATCTGGGGTTAGGAGGATTAGGTGCAGAAAAACTCATAAACCTATCTATTAAATTACTGCTCTTCTCTCAGCCTCAGTTTACTCATCTGTAAAACGGGGATAATAATAACCCCTACCTTATAGGGTTGTCATGAGGATTAAATGAGATATTTGTAAATTGTTTTACAAACCTTAAAGAACTATATAAATGTTATAAATTTGCTGTTGTTGTTGTTATGATGATACATTTATATCTGTTCTAGGCATATTTCCAGGCATAAATATTTTCGATCTAGAACTATCAAAAATATAAAAAGAATACGTCTGGGTGAAGCAGGCTTTACATACATGCAAACATCTGGCATATGGACAATAGACTTAGGCAGATTAATAATATGGATGAGCTGCATAGTAAAAGGAGGACCAATCTTACAATCAGAAACAACTGGCATAAATATTGCTTCTGACACATACTAATTATATGACCGTGAGCAAGAAATCTCACCCGTTGGTATTCCATACAACTACAATGACTTATTTTCAGTGGAAATGAGTCTTAAATGATAGAAAAAGATTAAATTAGTAACAACTAGTCCTTGAACTAATTTGACTAAAAGTATCTTTATATTATATTTACAATGCTGTATTTTAAGGCCAAGATGGCTCCAATATTGACCCTCTAATAGGGTTTAAGATCTATCATAAACTAATACAATTCTTACTCAGAATCACCTTACCCTTTCCAAGTCCCCAATCCATATCTGCATTGATGAAGTTTCTACACTGGGAACTTCCTGCACTAATAAAAACATGGGCAAGTTCAGACCAAAAGAAAAAGCGAAGATAAATACATTAATGTAATATAGTGGAACTGGGAATTCTGACTAATCCCAATAATCACTTGCTATTACATATTTAAATAACTGGCACTGTTTATTTTTGCCTCAAGTCCAATAGAATACTATTAATTTAAATATAAAGATTTACAAGGATTACAATAAAATAAAAGGGCTAGTAATTCCTAAAATATACATATTGTTCATACTCTAAGACAATGTTAGTTTATATTTGGTTCCTATACATCAACAGCTATTTTGATCAATAAGTCTTATTTTCCCATACATGTGGAAAAAAATAAAAAAGCATTTTTCAAATTAAAGCTTCCTATTAAACTACTTATACATTTTACATTAATTCATAAGATCTTAGATTTGTAAATGTGTTGTGTCTAATGACAATCAAGAAATTCCCCCTTCAACAATAAAGCAAAACGCAGCTTGAAAACAGAATCCAGAAGATAATCCATTTCCAAAAGTAAATTATGTATTCTTCTAAACTGATTTACTGGCAGGACAATTGATATTTCTATCCATTTTCAGAAATCAACAAATAACCTTCCTTTATAGAAATGTAGTGTCTAAACAAATATAATATTGGTGAAAACAGAGACCAAAATTTCATTAACAGCTAAAAAACATAATCCAAAAGCTTATGGGTGATCCTGTTCCTACTACACTAAATAAAAATTCATTGAGTAAACTGCTCCCTTTTAAAACGTTTTTAGTCACCACTACATATGAATTCTTGAGTTTCCACATCTCCGCCAAGTAAATTGTTTCCCTTTCTAACCAATAGGATTAGAAAGAAAAAATATGCCAGTTAAAAAAATGTTGGATGGAACACTGCTATGGGCATAAGGCCTTTGTTATAGGAATGGGGAGAAAATTGGCTTTTGAAGCTCAGCAGCCTCAGAGGTGCTCTCTCAGTAGACGTCTTTATTAGAAGAAAGTTGGGAAACTTGCATGAAAATGGCAATGGCAAAACTGGGTCAATAACCAGAGCATTTTTTCCTATGTATATTTATGATGAACTCTAAGATCAAGTTGTGGTAAGGAATGGAAAGGAGAGATTTATATATACTCTACAAAGTATAGAAATGACGAATCAGCAGCTAGAGCGGAAGGGCCTGAGGACATCATATCTACCCCCCAAACCCTTAATGTACTTCACCAAAAATCTCATAAAGAACTATCTCTCTCTCTCTCTCTCTCTGTATATATGCTTATTATTTCAAATTGTCAAGAAAACAGTTCTTGGTATCTCCAGCAACCTGATTCAACGCTTTTCAAGAATCTGCTATGATGGGTATTATTCATATCAGCATTAAAAGTATCTAATTTAGTGATGTGTCTTGATCAGCCTTCCATGAACTACTGTTTTGCTTGAAGACTTTTCTGTGACAATGTCTAAAGAATAAAAATAACAGTAATTAGAAATATAGAAAATTTTAAAATTGACCCAGGGCAGGAACCTGTGGCCTGAAGGCCACATGTGGCCCTCTAGGTCCTCAAGGGCGGCCCTTTGACTGAATCCAAACTTCACAGAACAAATCCCCCTAATAAAAAGGATTTGTTGTGTAAACTTGGACTCAGTCAAAAGGCTGTACTCAAAGACCTAGAAGGCCACATGTGGCCTCAAGGCCACAAGTCCCTACCCCTGGCGTAGATATTAGCAGACTACTTCTGAATTTTTTGTTTGTAGATTTTTATGCACAAACACAAACTAGGTCTTCTGCACTATTGAAATAGTTTTTAAAAGAGAAAAAATTACAGGGGCAGCTAGGTGGTGCAGTGGATAGAACTCCAGCCTTGGAGTCAGGAAGACCTAGGTTCAAATCTGGCCTCAGATACTTGACACTTACTATCTGTGTGACCCTGGGTAACCCCAATTGCCTCACCAAAAAGAAAAAAAATTACAGAGGAAATATAATGAGTTAAATTAAACTTTTTAAAAATGAATCAAAGCTAAATGATATATAAAAATTCTAGGATGGCAAAAAACTTCATTCATTTGACATCTGGCAAAAGTCAGAGGTTAAAAGCAATCCAAATATGTTCCCACATAACCTGAAGATAAGGAGTTTTCAAAAATAGAATCTACAACTTTCTGACAAAATAAGAAGAAATTTTGTACTATTTCAAGTTCGGATATCATAAAAGTATAATTTATGCCTATCAAAAACAAAAAGCTTTTAAGCATTATGATAGTTAAATAGTTTCAGCACATTAATCCTCTAATAACAGATCTTCAGTCAAAAAGAAATGTTGCAAGGTGAAATTTGAAGCTTAAAAAAACTAGTTTTTAACATGTGCTCTCTTCTTTCGTAATGGTACCTTGATTTACACAGCATCTAAATTCCACAGAGCTCAAAACATTTCATGGATTTACTCTGTCCATAAATTTTTTTCCTGGTAGAAGCAGAACCAGATGTTTCAGTTAAATTTGCATCTGATAGAATTCAGATTCTTTTGGCGAGGTTAAAAAAAAAAACCCTAACATATCAAGATCCCAATTTACTTGTCTATTTATAGGACCCCAAAAGACTTATTTTCATCTCTAATATAAATCCATTTGAGGAGGAACATTCTAACTGCATTGGGCTGCATTAGGTAGAGTGCTAACCTTTCAAATTGCTCTTATCTTCTGAAAAATATCATTAGTTAATCAGAGGAAAAGCCTCTAAGAATTTATAATGGGGAGTTGAGAATTAAGTCCTCTCCTACCCTCTGTGACAGGAGTGACCAGTAAAGAATATTCTTTTCCCCAGCGCAGCTTTTTCAGGTGTATTACTCCCTTGAATGTTTGAAATTTTACAGAGAAAGTGCTTTTCTTTTTCCTTTTGACCCTGAATATATTTCACGTACCTTGCACAGAAAATCTATAGTAGCTCTAAATAATCTGGTTTAGCTGAAAAGAGAGTATAACTTTTTTTTTTTTTGGCAAGGCAGTTGGGGTTAAGTGACTAGCCCAGAGTCACACAGCTAGTGAATGTTATGTGTCTGATGCCACATTTGAACTCGGGTCTTCCTGATTCCAGGGCCAGTGCTCTATCTACTGCACCACCTGGCTGCCCCATGAGTATATCTTAAAAATAAGTAATATCCACTTAAAAATCTCATGGCAATAAAATCATAGCTACCATTTACAAAAATTTTAAAGTGGTATCGTTGAGTTGTTTCAGTCAAATTCAATTCTTCATGACCCCATTTGGGGTTTTCTTGGCAGAGATATTGGAATGGTTTGCCATTTCTTTCAGTTCATTTTATAGACGAGGAACTTAAGTAAACAGAGTCAAGTGACTTGCCTAGGGTCACACAGTTAGTAAGCGTCTGAAATCACATTTGAACTCAGTTCCTCTTAACTCCAGGCCCAGTGTTCTATCCACTGTGCCCACACACCCCTTCATAGACATTATCTTACTCGATCCTCACAAAAGCCCTAAGAGGCAGGGACTGCAAGTATCATTGTTCTTCTTTTAAATAATAATAATAATAATAACTATCATTTATATAGCACCTACTCTGTGCTAGGCATTGTGTTTGGTTTTTTTTTCTTTTATTAATTTATTTTGATTTATCAATAATCACTTCCGTATGCTTTTGAGTTTAAAATTTTTCTCACCCTTCCTCCCCATCACCCTCTGCAAAACAGTGCACAATCTGACATAGGCTATACATTTACATTCCTATTAAACATATTTTCACATTAGTGAAGTTGTGAGTAAAAATTAAAACCAATAGGAGAAACCATCAGAAGGAGGAAACAAAACTCAACAGAAGAGAAAAAAAGATAGCGATTCAACTTTCACAGTTATGATTGCTATCTGTCTTTTTCTCCATTCTTTTTTTCCCCGTTTCTACCGTTATTTTACCTTCTGGTTCCAGGACTTCAGGGCAGTTTTCCTTTATGATTTCCTGAAAGATACTGTCCAAGCTCTTTTTTTCATCAAGATTTTCAGGTAGTCCAATGATTTTTAAATTGTCTCTCCTGGATTGATTTTCCAGTCTGTTTTACCAATGAGGTATTTTATTTTCATCTTTTTTTTTCTTTTTTTTTTTTGTTTGACTGATTCTTGCTCTCTCATAGAGTCATTAGTTTCCATTTGTCCAATTCTAGTTTTTAACAGATTGTTTTCTTCTGTTAGTTTTTGTACTTCCTTCTTCAATTGGCCAATTGTATTTTTAAGGGATTTGTTTTCTTCAGTGTACTTTTTTCTAACTGGCCAATTGTATTTTTTAAGGACTCTTCTACCTCTCTCATTAGACTTTTAAAATCCTTCTTGAGCTCTTCTAAGAAGGCTTTTTGGGCTTCAGACCAGTTCATATTCCCTTTTGATGTTGCAGATGTGGGTTTGTTGACAATGTTGTCCTCTTCAGAATTTCTGTCTTGATCTTCACTCTTCTCATAATATGAATCTATGGTATGTTTCTTTTTACTCATGGTGTTTCTTTATTCCCTGGCCTTTAAAGAGATTGAGCTCTCCTGCTGGGGAACAGAGGGCACTGACCCAAGCTTCTTGTGTTGGGAGCCTAGGTCTTGGTCACTGGCTTTGTGTGCTGGGGCCTCTTATGTTGGCAATTGGAGGCTATAGGATTTTGGCAACTTACCTCGTGTTGGGCTGAAATCAGCAAGGCTGGAACTTTGAGGCAATTCTAGGTTGCCTGCTTTTCCTTTCCTTTAGCTTTCTTCAGCTCCTTTTAGATGGGTGCTGCAGGGTGTTTATCTGCCTGGGGCCCCTTGCAATGCTGCCTCCCTCCTTTCTGCTAATGCACTGAGAGATTCCTTTGTGGTGGAGTGCCAAGGCACCTGGTGGTTTTCTGAGCTGGTTTCCACGGGTTCCCCCACCCTCACTGAGGCACTACGAGGTCCAGGTGTTGGTGTTTGCCTCTCTGCCACCTGGGCTTCAGGATCTCCTCCTGGTTCACAGTTGGAGGCTGTAGGGTTCTGACAGCTTACTAGTGTTGGGTTGGAATCAGCAAGCTGGGACTTCAGGAAGACTCTAGGTTGCTTTCTTCAGCTACTTTCAGATGAATGCGGCAGGGTACTTATCCACCTGGGGCCCTTTGTAGTGTTGATTCTCTTATTTTTGCTGAGGCACTGGGAGACCTGTTTGATGGGCTGCTGCACCGCTGTTCCCATCTTTCTTCTAGTTCAGCTGTTCCAGGGCTTTTTTTTTTCTGGGGTGATATTTTCTGGGTTTTCAGAGGCTGATAGGGGAGGGTGAGAGCGACTACCTTTTTACTCCACCATCTTGGCTCCCCTAGGCACTGTGTTAAGGGCTTTACAATTATTATTTCACTTGATCTTCAGAACAAGCCTGGTAGATAGATACTATTATCATCCCTATTTTGCAGATGAGAAAACTGAGACAGACAAAAGCTAAGTGATACAACTCATAAGGTTTCAGAGACACCATTTAACCCCCAGTCTCTCCTGGTTCTAAGTTTTATGCTCTTTCAACCATAGCATAAGTCTCCAGGGTATTGCTATTAAATAAATGATATAAAGGCTCTGAAAGCAGAGCCATTTTTTTATACCTTAGCAGAATCTGTGAACTTACATATAGAAAGGACCTCATTACAAGTAAATCCCAAGGCATGGACTCTAAAGACAACATAGTGAGATTCAATTGTAACAATAACAATAATAATAACTATATATAGCATCTCTTTGCATAGACTGATGAAATGCTTTCATCACAGGAACTCTATGACTCAATCAGTCATCAAGTATTTTTAGAGGACCTACTATGTTCTAGGTAGGTACTGTGCTGCAGTAGAGACCACAAATATTATTGGTCTTCATTTTAAAAGATGAATTTGAAGCTTAAAGACTTTGTATAAAGTCACAAACTTATTAAGGATTGAAAGCAGGATTTGAATCTGGGCCTTCTGAAACCAAAATCTAATGTTCTTTCCATGATGCCATTCTAATTATAAACCTATTTAAAATGTGCTAGTTTCTCATTTCCCCCAAGAAAATTCCCATGCCCTCTGGACTGTTTGCTAACTGTTCCTCAATTTTAACACTCCTTCTCCTGTCTCCATGAAATCTCACAAGCCATCCCTGGGCCTACAATCCACTCCCTGATTTCTGCCTTTCAGAATCTTTACCCTTGTTCAAGGCTTAACTTAACTGCTGCCTCATGAAACCTTCCCTTTTTATGCCTGTGATTAGTCTTTGTACCCTATCCATATTGTATTCCCCACTCCATAGGAGAACGTAAACTCCTTGACATTTAGGCTTGTTTTAGTTTTATTTTTATATCCTCAGAATCTGGCAAGGTACATATTAAATGTGTAATGAAAGTCTATTAAACGAAAGTGAACTGAAAGACCCTACTGTAGTCCAAAATGAGACCTTCTTAGCATCACAGAAGTTTGAGCTGGAAGGGCCTTAAGAGATAATCTAGTCAGCCCCCTAATTTATACTATTCACTTGCTAATTAAGCACATACTACCTTGTGACAACTTTATTATTATTATTATTATTATTATTATTATTATTTAATTCTTGTGCTGGTATTTTAACGTTTGGGGCATTTTTGTTACTTCTAGTCTTTTCTATATCATTAAAATGTAAGTTCTTTGTAGGCAGGAATCATGTCTTTATACTCTGCTATTCCTCCTTCCCCCTATTGCATATAAAGGAAACGATGATTGAACAATCACAGATAATGAAGTTACGTGATCAGTAGCTTTCAGAATTTATGTTTTAGACTGCCCAAAATTTAAAAATAAGGAAAAACTCTAAGAAATACCATATTTTGAAATATCACAGTAGCATATGGAAAATAGCATGTACAATATGATGTGCAGAGCTCATAAGAAAAAAAAGTTAGATTAACATATATATATATTAAAATATTTTTAAATGCTCCTTAAATTAAAAAAAAGTATTTTTTTTCACAGATACTCAAATAATTGTCTCCTTCTATCTATAATTTCTTTTGTGGCATGATGATAAACCAGATTACCCTAAAGTTACTTAGCTTGAAACAGATGTGAGATGTGTGTGTGTGTGTGTGTGTCTGTGTCTATGTGTGTGTATACAGTCATATGATTAGGTCAAATAACACTAAACATAAATTAAATCATTAAATCATGGTAAAATGGTTTACCAATTCCAAAAATTCTATTTCTGATCGGAGAGCTTCATAAACACTTTCCATGTCTTCTTCCTTATAAAGTTCTAGTTCTTTTTTAAGCCTGTTATAAAAGAAAAAAAAGTATCAGTATGGCACACGATACTGTTTTATATAACTATTTCCTAAATTAAGATAGATAGACTTGTAGTTCTTATAATCAGAATTGTGAAGTCAAGACTGGATGATTTGGAAAGAATATTAAGTGTTCAAAGATCTGGAAGAAATATTTGATACTTCAATAAAACATCTTTCTCTTAAGAAAACAGAAAAGTGAATAAATAATAGATGTTTAATAATCCTAGAACCATAAAGGAGGAAAGCATGGTTCAGTTTACCGAAACTCAGTACTGAACTGAGACCTGGATTCTGTTACTACTAAGAATAAGGTTTATATATAGGGCTTTCAGGTTCACAAAGCCCTTCCCTCACACCCTATGCAGGTATGCATATCCCCATTTTAAGGATAAGTATACTGAAGCTAAGAGAGATGAAATGAACTCTGTTACTGTCACAATGGCAAGGCCAACTGACATTTGTATGATCTTGGAAAAGTCTTTTAATTTCTTTTGGTCTTGGTGTCTTTCTTTGTAAGGATATATAAGGCAAATTTTCCATCTCTTAAAAAATTAAGAAAAGGTCCCTATCAGTTTTCAACTTCTATAACACAACTTACAATTTCTGAAGACACTGCTACACACCTGGAGATATGCTTGTCAAATAATGAGTTTAATTTCAATGAGATCAATTAAGCTTAATAACATCTGTTTGTCCTGATTAAGTCTATCTTCCTCTCTGATTCCAATATTATTTTCTTATTTTCTCTATAAAAAAGTATGTGTTGTGTGTAATTTTAGCCCTGAAAAATAGTGACAAGAATCATCAGGTTTACAGCAACGAAGGGAGAAAATTACCCTCATGTATCTGAAATGTATTGTGTTCTGAACCTGAAGAACTCTTGAAAAATAAATAAAAATTCTGAAGCACAGCTTATAAGAAGAAGATATAAGAAGTTATTAATTTTGTGTAGCAGAAAGCTGCAATCAGGACTGTGGGATATATTTTAATGAATAAATGGGAAACCAAAATCAAAGGCAACCGAGCTTTACAAGTATATTGGCAGATTCAGAAGGGAACACAAAGTAAACGTATTTTTTTTACAATTTTGTCAAAATGTATGTTATAATATTTTCCTACTAAATAAAAATGTAAATATCCCTAATTCTAAGGTTTCAGTAGGAGAATTATCCCAAATTAGTTCTAATTATTTATTAGTATTTTGTGTGACTAAAAAAAAAAACTTTTTAAAAGAGCCCAAGGAGGAGAATTAATTTAGGCTGTATAAAGCAAGCTTCAATTTCATACTGCCATACTTAGACACTTTCATTCTGCTTCATTTTTATTTATTTTTAAATAAAATGGAATCAGTCCCCCACCTATTGTACCATTCACCACGAATACATTTTCTTGTGAGTTCTTTCTTGTCCCTCACAACAGCAATGCTGATCAACCTTCCTCTCCCCCCCTCCTTTTTTTTAAAGTTGGCTAATAATAACAGAACAAGAGGGCACCAAAATTAAGAGGAGGATATTTAAAGCAAATTAAAGGAAATATTTTTAATACAGCATACAATCAAGCTATAGAATTCATTCTTACATTGAAAAGTCTGTTGTTAGATTTAAAAGAGGAAGCAATGATAATGTTATGAATATTAATAACATTTGCAGCGAGAGAAAGCAGTATAATGGTAAGCAAAACTCATGCTTCAGTGGGTGGACTGATTGACTGCAATTGTCACCTCCTCCCCTCATTTCACAATAACTAAATGCAGTTACCTACTGTGTATAAGGCATCATGATGGACACTAAGTATAAAGATTTAAAATAAAAATTTTAAAAACCTACAGTTGCTGCAGAAAGTTTACAATCTAATAGAGAGGAAGTCTAGTCTAACCTTCTAAATCATCAACTAATAGTCAGTGCCCTATTATACTTAGCCAACATTCGAAATTGATGTAGTAATTCCATGGTTTTGTCTTTTGTTTGTTTGTTTCATTTTGTTTTCCCTAATGACCATTCAAAACAGGGTCACCAACCTTTCCATGTCACAGAATAGCTTCACTGAAAAGATACCATCTCTTGAATAAAGTTGAGCAAAATGACTATTCTTAAAATTAAAAGTTTTATCCTATCCAAAATGCACAAACATTTTTAGAATATTCTTTGAAATACCAAATGCAGTTTTCACAGTTTTCTAAAAGTTGGGCAACATTATTTCAGACTTTGGGGGACAGGCTAGCAAAATCACTAACATTCATTACAAGCATAACTTTTGCAGTAATCAATTGATTCCACTATCAAATTTTCTCCTTGTACTTATTTAGAAGCTCAGTAATTACAGTATGTGCCAAGAATATTACACTCACAAAACAGGGGATGTCTGTTAGCTTAGAGGCTACACAATCAATGCTGTAAAGACGCCTCTGTTAGTGAATAAATGATGAACTTTTACCAGAAGGGATGCAGAGTCAACAGAAACATTCAACAAAATTCTGCAGCAAAGAATGGACCTGGAGTTAGAGAAGAAACTTTCTATGTTACTTATTTCAAAACAGGAAGAACTATCTCATCTGGATAAATCATATGCTCCAAAATTTTTGTAAACACTATTTTGTAGAAAACTGAAGTACTTTCTTGTTAGATATATGTACCTTTGATTTTATTTCCTTTGTCAAGATGCAAAGTGCAGACAGAATTTCCTAAAAATAATTTGTTTTTAACATTCCCCATTCCTCTTTTTGGATAAGAAGAAAGACCCATGTTAAAATACATACCTGAAAATAACTAAATATCTACACATATAAAACATATTTAAAGAGGTCCTGGAGAGTTTGAAAGTATTTTGGTATTATATAATTTAATTATTTCATATCTCATCATATTATATTATATTCTTCTGTATAAATCTAATGATTGTCAATGTTATCTATATGTCTATTTTTAGATGTATTTTTCACCAAAAATATGAAAGCAGTAATTTACCATATTGTATAAAGACACTGTCTGTCACTGTAGAGAAGGTGCCAAGTCCCTTCATCTTGAAGTTTTCTGCACCAGTGAAATTATAGGTCCTGTCTTTATCTCTATCTCCTTGGAAAGTGCTGGTAAATTTAATACCTTGCACATTGCAAATATGGTATTGATTAAAATCCACTGTTTTCAGGTGTGCAAAACAAAGTGATCTCTCCTTCCTTTTAAGTCTCTTGCAGAATTTTGCTAGACCTTTGATTTGTCCTTATTATATATGTCTACCTTGTTCTCCCTCTCTCTCTTTCTCTCTCTCTTTCTGTGTGTCTGTGTCTCTGTCTCTCTCCTCTCTCTCTTCTCTGTCTCTGTCTCTCCTCTCTCCCCTCTTTCTTTCTCCCATTTCTTCTTTATCTTCCTTCTCTCTCTTCATCCCTTCTATCTCCCTTCCCTCCCTTTCTTCCTCATCTCTCTCTCTCTCTCTTCTCTCTCTCTCTCTCTCTCTCTCTCTCTCTCTCTCTCTCATATTCTAGTCTACCCCATTCCCATCTTGTTAATAGGCAAGTAAGTAAGTCTTGGCCCCTCTAAACCTCACTTTTCTCATCCATGTAATAGAGATACTATTTATATTATCTACCTCACAGGTCTGTTATGAGAAAAAGTCTCTAAGTCTTTAAGTCAATATATGTGAATTATTATTATTGAACACTGCACAAGGGCAGAGATTGTATTGTTTTCCATCTTTGTATCTTCACTATCTATCACAGGTTGTTAACTAATTGTTGTTAAGTGGCTTAAAATCTGAAACCTTGAATCACTTCCACTTACATTAGAAAAAATGCATCGAGATTATCTTCAGAACTTGAAAACTATTCTATCAAGAAGCTTGGTAGACAGGGAAAAGAATGGAAATAGTTAAAGTTGTCTCCTATACTGAGTGTCCATTACTTTATTTTTTGCCACAAATAAAGACTATGACCCAGAACACTTAGAATAAAGGGAATGCCACAGTAAAAATAAACAGAATATAGTTTTTCAAGGAGATTTTTTTTAAAATTATATTTTCATGGAGACTCAACTAGGCATGTCATTTACTTTCATGCTGTTATTTGAAAAGGCATAGACATAGACAAGATGAAAAAAATTATAAAAGTAATGGGAGAGAAGAACAAAAGCACTCTCATACTTTCATAGACATTGATAGTCTATAAAATGCCGACTATTCAATCAGTGTATGTTCTCACTATTCTGTGGTCTGAGCTAATCAAAACTCAAATAATCAGCTCCTATAGAAAATAATGGCTCAATCCTGGTTCAGCCTCAGGAATGGGAATTTTATCCAAAGCCCTTGGGAAAAGGAAAAAAAACTCATTCACCTGTGGGATCTTGGGTTAAACAACATTTTGGAGGCCCCACCATTATATGTAGGGCCACTAGGTGGCATAGTAGATAGATCCTGGGGAGGGGGACGGTGGCTAGAGTCTGGCAGACTCATCTTCCTGAGCTCAAATCTGGCCTCAGACACTAGTTATGTCACCCTGGCAAGTCATTTAATCCTGTTTGCCTCAGTTTCCTCATCTGTACAATGAACTGGAGAAGGTAATGGCAAACCCCTCCAGTACCTCTGCCAAGAAAAACCCAAATGGGGTCACAAAGAGATGGATACAACTGAAAACAACAACCCCTATATATAACAATGTAGAGGAGAACTGACCTGACTTCTAGAATTTGGAATATATTGACACACCTGAGTGATAAACAACTACTACTCTGGAGATGAAACTAAAGGTTGCTTTGCTACTCCACTTGATAAGTCTATTATTCCACAGGGTTTGATACGGGAATCTTTTAGAAACAGAAAGGTTTCAAAATACTATCTTAAGATTTCTAAATATGGAGGCAGCTGAGTGGTGCAGTGAATAGTGCACTGGTTCTGAAGTCAGGAGGACCTGAGTTCAAATCCAGCCTCAGACCAAACACTTGACACTTAATAGCTATGTGACCCTGGGTAAGTCACTTAACTCCAATTGCCTAAAAAAAAAAAATCTAAATAAAGGAAAAAAAAAGAAAACATTCAAAGAGATACCATCAATCCTTTTTTCCCCCAGACTTGTGATTTCATCCAGAACACTCCTCTGCCCAGTACTTCCTTTTCAACTGAAAGTCTTAGAGAGTTGCCTGGGGCCCTGAGAAACTTAAGTGATTTGCCCAGGTCCCACAGCCCAATTAGACTCACAGATCTGATTTAAAGTCAGATCTTCCTGACTTCACAGCCAATTCTCTCTCCACAAGGCATCCAATATAAATTACTGGCTATGTAAATGCACAGATGGTATAAAGATAAGTTTCAATAACTAACCCGAATAATGATGAAAAACAAGGAAAAGCTACTAATTATAAGAGAATTTCAGTGATGGAGATGGAACAAATTATAAATCAGTGTGCTCTGATTATTACACACAAAGATAATCAGCCCAAAAGAAGTAATATTTCAAATGTTCTTTTACAATGAAGATTTAAGCTCTTTTTTGCCCAAGATTTAATAAGAATAATATCAGTAATGATAAAAATAATGAATTACAATTTATTTTTAAAATCCTCATTGTCAAGATTTGAACAATTAAAAATACAATAAAATGCATATATGACATACTAAGATATTTAACACATCGCAAGAAGACATTTCTTCTAAAACATTTAAATGAAATTAAATGTTTAAGTTAAATTTATTTGGGCCTTCATGGTTTCAGTTTATTAAATACTGTCAAATATGCTAGTTTGCAATCATCAGCCTCTGGTTACCGCACTAGTTATAAGATTGATGGTCCTTTTCCCTAAATCTTCATATTCAGTAACTTCGCTCTTCACACTTGGGATATCTTTTGTGAAACTGACAAGGGAACTAAGTAAAGTTATACATACAGAAGAATATAAAGTGGGAATAGATAAGTATCAGAGCATTCCATTTGCAATGAATGGAGTAGGGTGCATGGACCAATGATTCTTTCCATCCAAATTTCCTATGCTGCCATTTGTTAGAAAACAAGTGCTCCCTAACAGACTATGTATATGTTTAATTTTCGCCTAGAGCATATTTTTATGACTGAGTTATAAACCTCTGAAACTGGGGTTCATAATGGAAATCCTTACAATACTAACTGGAATGATGCTAGTGGGCACTGCTATAAAAAAAAGTCTAAAACAATCAATGAGCAGATTGTCATTACAGAAACTCATTTTGCATCACACAGATCACTCAAGAGATTGATATTTTCTGCTTATAAAACTTAACATAAAATTAAATTGCAAATATTTTCTCAAAACCACTAGAATGATGGCCTAAGGCAATACACTGTTAATATGAAGCATTTGTTCAGCTCTAGTGGACATATTTCCTGTATGATTTATGTGAAAGAAGGCTTCATTTGCTTCTTCATGGTTTTAGTAATGAGGTTTCTTTTTCTCATAATATGAAACCCAAGAAGCAAAGCTGGGTTTTTTAAAATTAATCCAGCAAATAAAAACTGAATTATTAAATAATGCAAGTCAAATTAATACATTTGGGTTTTTTTCCTGGAGCATATGACCATAAGAAATTTCAAACACATGCAATTCTTATGTAATAGGACTGGGCAAAAAGAACATAAAAATTCTAAACAGCAGAAACACATTTTGATTCTTCATGCACATAGCAAAAATAATCAATTTTTAATAAAGTAGTGGATTTTTTTCTGATTTTCTCTTGAAATGTAAGAATGGATGAGAAATGTTAGCTATCGGGGTAATTTTTTTAAACAAAAACTTAAAAGCAGAAGACAGAATTGTTAACAATGAGACAAATTTTAATACCTTTCATTGTATCTTAGGTGAGAATTTAGAGATCATCTAGTCTGACCTGACACCCCAATTTTTCGAAAAGGAAACTGATGGCCAGAATTTGGCAGAACTCAGAGTAAAAACTCAGTTCTGATTCTTAGTCAAATCTCTTCCTACTACTCTAACCTCGTTCTCAAGTGAATAGCACCAAATACACAATGATTTTAAGGAGGGAAACATTACATATAGAGACAAAAATGTTTTAAAATATTAATAACATATGTTTGAGCAGGTGTAGAACTATGCTTTCACTGGTGCAAGGAACTCCCAAGTTCCAAAATTCCTCCCACCAATGCAGTTCAGCTTCTACAACTTTTAGTAATAGAGAGTTGCTTGGGGAAATGAGCTTGAGTGACTTGTGAACTGTCACAAATAATGAGCGTTCAAAGAAGAACTGAAAATCAGGTCTTTCTGTCTCAAAGACTAGATGTCTATCTAATATTCCACACAGTCTCTCAACAACATGATAAACCATGAAATTTACATATAATATTTTTCAATTAGTTAAATATTAGAATATTATCCTGCTTTACAATTCTTTATCTGGAATTTAAACTTAGAATTTTGCTGAAATACATTAGACAAAGTAAATATTTTATTTAAAGGTGATGATAATGTTCCATTTGTAACCTACATAGATGGGAAAAAGAGAAGATCCAACAAATGGCATCCCAACAATCCACCAGCGAGTGACATTTTGGAACTAGGGCTCCTAGGAGTATTTTTGTGAAGGTTTCTAGGAGGAAGACACTGGAAAAAGAGGAGCTGAGATTTGGAGTTTGGAGTTCATCCTTCATCTTGGGGCCATGTGGACAGTCTGGGATCAAGCACTGGGTTCATGCTCTCTTGCATGGAAAGACTGAGACAAGGGGAACTACTGTGCTGGAAAGGATGATGACTGGTAGGATAAGGCATCTAACACCTCAAAGACAATTTTCTTCTCTCCAAGTTGGGGAAGACAACAAATCCCATAAACTGAGTGTTTCCTCTACATTCTTGCAGAAGGGAAGGAGTCTCAAGCAGAAAAACCTGAGGCTGGCAGCTATTATATCCATGATAAACCCTAACCTTAATTGCTCCCTTGTTCTCAGTTCTTTCCTCTTTATATAAAGAAAAACTGGAGGCTTGTTTTCTTGTTTAATGTGAGCAGCTCTGATGTAGGTTTGAGGAAACGTATGAGTCTGTGTAGAAAGCAAGAGATGTCTCCAATTTCAGCTTCTAGTAAAGGGGTATGGAAAAGGCAATAGCTTCCCACCAGGGAATGACAAACACATAACTTTGGAGGTACCTTTTTAAAACTAGGCCACATACCTTGCTGGGTCCCCTACAAGGGAAAAATAGGAGAACAGAAATCTGATCCAGTGTTAGACCCTAGAATATCCACCTAGCCCCACTGATGCAGGATAAAATCCTGACTCCAACTCTTGATTCCTTTCTTTCCAGCATCTTTCTCCCAGAAATCTTCACAAAGAATCCCTTAGAAGTCCCAGTTCCAAAATATGGACTGGTAATGGTTCAACTGATGGACTCCATGGATGGTGACTGTCATGGCGCCAAATCTCCATGGCAATGTAGACTATACAATTATAATAGGCCTTACCTTATACATTCAGGATCATTCTGAGGTTTTTCACTGATTCTGACTTTTTCTTCCTCTAAAAATTTGGTGGTACATATGGCTTCGTTTACATTATTTTCAAAAACTAAAAGATAAAAATAAAATGGTTATGACTCGCTTCTCCTTGTGACTATCAGCTATATAACCCTGGAAGTTACTTCTCTGGGTCTATGTCCTAGACTAGGAGATGAATGAATTGAAATATTTTCCCTTACAAATCTAAGATTTTATGAATCTGCTAAGTATCACCTATATTCTCCTACACTTAGAATATTCCAATACTTTTTTGGTTTGAATGTACAAAATCATACAGTTGATTTTTTTTTAAAGCTCTACTTTGGGGGGCAGTTAAGTGGCGCAGTGGATAGAGCACTGGCCCTGGAGTCAGGAAGACATGAGTTCAAGTCCAGCGTCAGATATATAACATTCACTAGCTGTGTGACTCTGGGCAAGTCACTTAAATCCAACTGCCTCACTTTAAAAATAAAATAAAATAAAAAAATAAAAGCTCCACTTCAAGCTACTAACAAGATTTAATACAAAAATCATTTAACTCTTCCTCCCCCCACAGCAAACACACATACACATGCACACACATACAGAACCCCAACAACCAACAATAACAAAATCAAACACCAGACTGTAAAGCAAACTGTCTCTGAGTATTAAAAAAAAAAACAACACTATGTCCCAAGTGGTCAATATAGTGTTTTTGTTGTTGTTCAAAGAGTCTACAGATTCTCTTGCAATGTGACTTTGCAAAAAAGAAAAAAAAGCCTCTAATGGAAAAGCACTATAATAAAATGGGTTTATATACTTTTATCTTTCCTTTATAACCATATGGACATATAACCATTCCCATTAGGGTTTATTAGACCTAAAATTATTAAATATTGAGGTAATACCTTTAAGTTTTCTCTGAAGAACAAATAATTCCTGCATCAATTCATTCTTCTGTAGCTGAAGTTCATTTAACTGGATACTCTTATGTTCCATTGACTTTATTTCTGAGAAAACATTTATTTAATATAGCAATTATCATTACAACTCTCTGTTATACTCAATATTGGATTATCAGTGTAGTAAATTTTTAGACTTAAGCTGCTTTTCCCCAGCTGTCCAATATGCTCCTAGGCCACTTTAATCAATCAGTCATGTGTACATGCTAGCATGTGCATCACAGTGCTGAAGTGGGAGTTCACATTTTTACAGCCACTTTAAAATCTGCAAAATGCTTTACATATATAATCTCATTTGATTTTCCCAACAACCTTCTAAAACAGGCATTTGCCTAGTTATTATTATCCCATTTTAGAGATGTGAAACAAAATTAAAGAAAGTGACTTGTTAATGGTAGTATCCTATGATTAACCAGAGGAGTGTATGCCTCCACTCCTCCAGGTCTGATCCCTATTACGCAATAGGTATTAACTGCACCTAGTTCTAGTTAGAACTAGATGCTGAAACTCTTCCACAAGCTTGCCATTGTGACCCACTTATAATTTCAATTCCCCCCATCCTAAGGGTTTCTGTGCTTCATGCCCACTGAGGCACAGTTTGAATAGGCCTTCTTGGTTAATATTTAGAGAACTCTTTTGCTATTGGTCCATGTTCCTTTATCTGATCACTCCCTGGTAACAAGGCAAGTCCTTTGTCTCAAAACCCAAGCAAACGTGAGCCCCAAGCTGCTATGGGCCTTTGATCTGAGCACACACCTCACTACCCTTCAGGCCCCCACCATCCATGCTGCTCCAGGGCTGCTAGGGATGAGGGAGGCTTCCCACAACTCTATCCCTAACGAAATCACTTCCCCTTTGTCCACACCTCCAATATTATGCTTGGTTGTGAGCATCAATAAATTATTTTGACCCATCTTAGTGCTGATGTATACTAGTCACCCAAATTCCACTAGAAATTTTATCACACCATGTTAGTTTTCCAATTGGTTCATGCATGCTGAATCAAAAATATTTTAAATGAAAATCATGGGAAATATAATTAAAAAGTAAATCTGCTATAAAAATCAATCACATGACAGATTTTAAAAGATTTTCTGTCTTAGGTATTCTCCTGTTCCTACCTACCATAGAGATAACTTAAATCTTCTCCATTAAATATAAATATAATTACATGATAATATACAAAGGAGAGGGGCAGCTAGGTAACACAGTGGACAGAGTGCCAAGCCTGAAGCCAGGAAGATTCATCTTCGTGAGTTCAAATCTGGCCTGAGACACTGACTAAGTTGTGTGACCCAAGGCAAGTCACTTAGCCCTGTTTGCCTCAGATCATCTGTAAAATGAATTGGAGAAGGAAATGGCAAGCCATGCCAGTATCTTTGCCAAGAAAACCCTAAATGGGGTCATGAAGGGCCAGATATGATTAAAACAACTCAACAACAATGATCCAAAGGAGATATGTTTTCAGTTAACAATCACAGAAAGTTTAGGCCCAGAATAACCTTATAAACTTAAAAAGAAAAAAAAAAGTAGCAGAACAAATTAGACAAGGTTAGCTGATGTAGGATATGTTTAGACAAATGATCTATAGAAATTAAACATGACAGTGGTAGAAAGGCGTTTGAACTTAGATTCTTAAACATTTCCAGAACACAGAATGTATTTCATTTTCTTATTCCTGGTTATCAAAGATGGAAAGGAAAAATTCTAATCTCTGAAATGGAAAGTATGAGAATGGAAGTGAAAAAGACAGAATGCACGAAAAATTATAGCTATTCCTTATGAAATATTGTGAGAGATCAAAAGACGTACAAGAGGCCTTTCCCTCCATGAACTTAGAATCTATTAATAAACATAGACATATACAAATAATAATATAAAAATAATATATGATAAGCACACAATGGCAAAAAATATGTTACTTAGTACCATATAATAGGAGAAAGTCATTCATTCCAACTTTCTCCATTAAAGCTGAGGACCCTAAATAGTTAAGAGACTTGTCTAAGAAAGAACAGACATTTATTTGTACCTACTATGTGCCAGGCATTGAGCTAAGTGCTTTACAAATATCATCTTGTCTGATTCTCACCACAACCATGGAAAGCATGTGCTGTTATTATCCCCATTTTACAGATGGGGAAACTGAAATAAACTATAGTTAAGTGACTTGCCCAGAGTCACACAGCTAAATGTATCTGAGGTCACATTTGAACTCTGGTCTTCCTAACTCGAGGTCCAGATCTCTGTGCACTATGGCACCAGATAGCTGCCCCTAAGATCACGCAGATATTAGGTAGTAGAACTAAGATTTGACCCTGGATCCATCACTCTTCCCATGGCACCACATTTCTTCCCATTATTGGTCACGATCTTTACCTTGATGAGATCACATCTTTTCCAGATTCCAGATAAGTACCCATATTTCTTAATGTTTTATTTTTTTGTATTTCAATTTTCCAGTTGTCCCCCATACTCTTCAAAAATTGCTCACTCAGATCTGGATTTCTGGCTTTCTTTAGGTAGTTTGAGGTAATTTGGAGTTTACAATTTGTCTAGGCATATTGAAACATAGATTCTTCCTTGTTGAAGCTGTACAAATTCTTTCTTGTTATATTTTGGCTGCTTATTTTTTTCTAATTATGGAAATTTTTCTTTGATGATTTCCTAAAATATACTGTTCAAAATCCCTCTCCAAAGTTTTTTTTTCTAGTATGTCAGAAATTGTGAGTGGAGTTGTTGTATCATGACTTATTCTCTAAATTTGACATTTCAATCTACTAGCTTTTCAGTATTTGGATAATACTATGATTTTGTTATTCTGTGATTTTGTAATTTTATATTTGTTTACAGCTGTTCTGCATTGTGGGTGATTTAATTTTCTGTTAAATATCCAATTAATTAAACATATATGTAGTACTTTACTGAGATCCTACTGAATCCTCAAATTTGTGTTGAAAGTATCAAAGATTTTAGAACTAAAATGGATCCTAGAGATTATGTATTTCTGGTTATATCTATAGTGCTTTTTAAATTTTTTTCTAGACTTTTTCTACTAACCATTTTCTTCAGCATTTCTTTCTAATTATTTCCAGCATCTTTTAATTCTTGCTTGAGTTCTTCCCAAGATTTCTTGCCATCTTTAAAAGGTTTTCTTTTATTTGGTCTTACAATTTTCTTTACAATGCTAATTCTTACTTAATTTCATTACCCATTTGAGGATGTCTCTCAGGAGATCTTTCATGGTTTCTCTTTCTACTTGCATTGCTTCTGGTAATTTAGCTGATTCAGTTTCTCTAAAGTATTTTTCAAATTATATCAACCCTTTTTTTCATTTTGCTCATTTTTTTACTTTTAATTGATTTAAAATTTTTTCCTCAATGATTTTCCAGCCTGTTTTGTTCTCTTTAGTGTTACCATTTATTGTTTTTAAAGCCAAGCTCCCTTAAATCCTCTTACTCTACCATCTTGACTGGAATATTAATAATTTTTAGAACAAAAATATCAGAGAAAGATAAAACATAACTCTTTGAATAATTACTATGAGTCCCAAAGATGTGCAACAGGTCCCCAAAGTCTTACTGTAGTTTTAAACTATTATAATGTTAAAACTACATTTAGAATTTTAGGATATCTGTGTGTAAATCCCCAGAATAATTTAAAGACCTGAATATAAAGACTACTGTAATGGAGTATCCTTCCTGATCAGGTCTTGGGGTTGGGGGGATGGAAGTGGTAGGGAGGCTGCAGAAGAGGCATTCACCAACTTTCAGATATTTCTCATGATACCATAAACTACATTGTACCACCAACTGGCTCACCAGTTTCTCAGGAAAGGTACAAATGGATCTCATCTTTCTCCACACATGCCCTTTCTCTTCAGTCTTTCTCCTTTACCACCCCCCCCTTCCCCATCACTCTGAATATATTTATTTTTCCCAGTTAATCAAAGAAGAGAAGAAAGGGAAATATTCTCAGCATTAGGTAACTACAAGCCTCTGAGTTATTTTGGTACAAAAATAATAGCAAATAAGATTATAAGATCCCAGATGTAGAATGGATTTTAAGAGGTCATGTGATTATACAGTCAGAGGAATATAGGTCTAGGGCTGGAAAGGATCTCAGAAGACATCTACTCCAATTTCCTCATCCTAGAATGGGAAAACAGAAGACTAGGGAGGTTGTTTCTTGCCCAATTTTACACAGATAACACTGCAGAAGAAGCACTAGAGCTGGGATTCAAAACCCATTGTGCTCCAGCACCAAATTCAGTACTCTTTCAGATGGTCTGAATGAAGCTAACAAGTCAAAGGATAGTAGTAGTAGTAGTAGTAGTAGTAGTAGTAGTAGTAGTAGTAGTAGTAGTAATAGTAGTAGTTGTTTTTGTGATAGTAGTAGTAGTAGTTGTTGTTGTAGTAATAGTAGTGGTGGTGGTTGTAGTGTTAGTTGTAGTTGTAGTAGTAGTAGTAGAAATAGCTGGCATTTATATAGCACTTTCAGCTTTGCAAAGTACTTTACAAACATCATCATTTTATCTTTACAACGAGCCGGAGAGGGAGACGCTATTTTTATCTTCATTTTACAGATGAAGAAACCGACAGAGATGAAGGTTAAGGGACCTGCCTAGGGTCACACAGCTAATAAATATCTAGGGCCACATTTGAACTGAAGCCTTCCTGACTGTAGTTCCAATACTCTATCCACTGCACCACCTCGCCGTCTTCTGTAATAACAGTGAAGAGAATTTGACAGCAATTCACCTGAGAAAGAGATCTCTTAGTCTTTGATTCAATAACTTATTTTGCAGGAAAAAAAACATATTAAAATGTCTTGGAGGTCATACAGCTGTACGTTCTTTATGAGAAAGAAGTAAATATCTCCAAAGCAAGTTTACATGAAGAATTTTTTTTTCTCAGAGAAATTAAGTTTCAGAGTGTAGTCCAAGGTCAGAATCCAATCAGGCCTATGCATTCTAGCAGAGTATGAGATGATGTTCATATTATGGTCCTGAGTCTTTAAGATAAGTTAAAAAAAAAAAATCCTCCAGAGTCCTTCTCTCTCTTGACATTCAAATGTTTCTCATAATGCTTCTAGCTCAAATCCTGCCTGATACAGTCAGTTCATTAAAGCAGAGGAGTGTATGATATTTTTTAAAATACTGATATTAAAAACAAATTACAATACAAGTTGTGGTGTGTAAAGGGTTAAACTTGAAGCCTCTAGACATTTCACTGATCAGAAACACCCCACTTCCTAATGATACCCAGAAAACAAGGTATACCTACCACTTTTCAAAATATTTTCCTGTTGCTCTAAATCAGATATTTCAATCTTGACTTTTTCTTTAATCAAAAGTTCTCTCTTATTTATTAATCCATACTCATTATTGAAGTCTGTAATCTCCTTGGTAAATCTTTCTTCCTCTTCTTTTATTTTCTTCTTCATAGTCTCCTGAAATATAGAAATGAAACCTCATAAATGGAAGCTAGTAACAATTCTTTTTTCCTTTAAGAATTTAAGGTACATTAAAAATGGCAATAAAAATTTTTAAAAGATTTTCTCTGCCTTAAGTAATTTTTTAAAGTTTTGTATCTAAATGTATTTAATTCCATTTTAATAAATGATGATCTTATAATTCTCTTGATTAATCATTTTAAATAACATTTTTACATTTAAAATTCTATAAAATGTTGTTTGCACAGTTCTGCCACTGAAGGATGATATTTATTTGTGATTATAAAACCCTAAGCACAGATTTGGCTTCATATGTCTGGGCAAGAACCTTAACTTCTCTGGGGAACAGAAAATATTAGAAAGTTCTATTGTTGTTTAGTTGTATTCAACTCTTTGTGACCCCATTTAGGGTTTTCCTGGCAAAGATACTGGAGTGGTTTGCCTTTTTTTTTTTCAGCTCATTTTACAGATGAGGAAACTGAGGCAAACAGGATTAAGTGACTTGCCTAAGGTCACACAGCTATTAAATGTCTGAGGCTAGATTTGAACTCATGAAGATGAGTCTGCCTGACTCCAGGCCTGGCATTCTATCTACTGTACTACCTAGCTGCACAAGAAGTTCTATTGCATGATCTCTAAGGTCTCTTCCAGCTCTAAAATTCTGCTCCGCCATTTTGTCACTACTCTAAAAATATATATAATACAGTAATAAAAACAATTCAAAATGATCAACCAGAAACATACCTACCATATTGGTCCAACCACGGGCTTTCTGAAAATATGTCACGCCATTAAAATAACATCTTTTTTAAAAGAAAAAAATGTGTATAGGTATACAAAGAAAAATACACAAAACTGCCTTACTCATGATATGTGAAAGTTTTCCATGTTTCTTTAAAATTTAATGAAGTTTTTAAATTCATTTTTATTACCAAAATCCTCTTCATCTTCATCATTTCCTTTTTATTCCTTAAGACTATGATCATTCACTTCACCTAAGTCTGAGGGAAAAGTATGGCCTTCACATACTTGCAGGAGTTTCCACAAAAATGTTTTAAAGTTACCTTTCTAAAAGGAACATAAAAAGATTCCTAAATATCTAAATAAAGCCATGATAGATTTCGCTTCAGTTTCCTCATTTGTAAAACAGGAAGTTTGGTTGAGGTGATTTCTACTATCTATACATCCTGAAGAAGAGAGTTTGAAGACACGTCCAGATCCTGTTTGTTCCTTTAGTATGTATTTCATCTTGGACAAGTCCCTAAAGCTCTCATAACTTCAGTTTTCTTATCTCAGGGTTTTGAGTTAAGTGATCTCTCTGGTCATTTCTAGTTCTAAATGCTTTGAAACCAAATTCAACTCAATATGATTGGACAAACACTCATCCCATGCTTATTCTGTGCAGAGCACTGTGTTGGGTGCTGAGCATGCAAAGACAACACTAAGCAGAAAAAAAAAGTCCCTTGAGGAGTTTACATTCTTTCATTCCAAACTCTTAGTTTCAAAAAACACAGTTTAAATTCTATGAAATATCAATAGCTGAATTTAAATAAAATATTAATCATGCTAGAACCTAAACATTAATGTATTTCTGAAATGCATTTTAAGAGAAATAAAATATGCCCCACTTGCAGTAACTTGCACATTCTCCCTATTGATTTAACACAAGGAAGGCTGTTGTTGGACCTTGTTTACAAAAGTTAATTCAATTCAACCAACTATTTCTGAAGAATGTGCAAGGCAATGTTTACATAATGGGAAATACAAGGATGGGAAACAATGCTGTTCTTACCCTCAAGAAGGTTATAACCTAATAAGAGTGATACATAAGTATTCAAATAAGCATAATATGAGGTAGAATATAATAAATATAAGGAGAGATAGAGAGATAGTTTTCTGACTTTTTGATATATTCAAGTCAATTAATTTGAGTGTTCTACCAAACCATGGAGCTGAGTTTCAGGGAAACAAAAAGATGAATAACAACCCTAATTTTCCTGCTTCAAGGAGGAGGGATCTGTGATTTTTATTTTATTCTTTTTTTTTTTGCATGGGTATCCCTTCTAACAACTCAGGTTAAAAACTCTAAAAATCAAAAGGTAGTCATCAAGAATTGCAGTGCCTGTAAACTGTACCATTGTGAGTCCATCCAGCTGATGAATGTCTCCAAATTTATCTGGGCTGGTGCTGAGAAAAGACAACTTTTCACCAGGTCCATATTCAGCTGAAATTATAAAACGATCTTCCTAAAATGCAGGTCTAACTACTTCACCCCGTCTCTTCAATAAACTCCAGTGGCTTTCATTTATATCAAGGATCAAATGTAAAATCTTCTGTTTGGCTTTCAAAGCCCTTCATAATCTAGTCCTTTCTTACCTTTCCAGTCTTCTGACACTTCAGTCCCTTCCATATTCTCTATGAACCTTGCTTCTCCTCACACATGTCTCTCTATCTCCCGACTCTGCTAATTTTCACTGGCTATCCCCCTCTCTGCAATTCTCTCCTTTCTTATCTCCCCCTCCTGGTTTCCCTGGCTTCCTTCAAGTCTCATCTATGGTACTGCTTCCTATAAGGTCTGTCCTAGTCTTCCTTAATCTTAATGTTCTTCCTCTGAAACTAGCCTCAATTTATCCTGTATATATCTTATTGGTTCATAGTTGTTTCCTTGATTAGACTGTGAATTCCTTGAAAGTCAGGAATGTTTTTTGCCTTTCTCTGTATCCATGGCACCTGGCACATAATTTGTTGTTGTGCAGTCTTTCAGTGGTATCTGACTCTTCATGACCCCATCTGAGGTTTTCTTGGCAAAGACACTGGAGAGGTTCTCCAGCTCATTTTACACATGAGGAAACTGAGGCAAACAGGGTTAAATGACTTGCCCAAGGTCATACACAGCTAAGCTAGTAAGCGGCTCAGGCCAGATTTGAACTCAGGAAGATAAGTCTTTCTGATTCTTGGACTGGTTCTCTATCTATTGTCCTGCCTAGCTACCCCCTCTAGCACATAATAGGCATTTTTAATTTTTTCACATTTTATTTTTATTTTATGGAATAAAACAAGCATTTCCATAACACAGCATAATAAAAAAGACAATTGCATGTGAAACTGCAAATCTATTATGTACAACTTGCTATTCCTTTTAAATACATAATAGTCATCATGTAAATTTCTTTTTTTTTCTTTTTTGTTCCTTTTTTTCTTTCCTCCCCTTCCCCCCTCCCCCAGCTCTAGGGATGACTACCATTAGACACAAATAAGTATGTATATGTATATATGTATGTGCATATGTGCGTGTGTGTGTGTGTATACATATATACATTATATATATATATATATATATATATAATGTATATATATATAAATTAGTTTATGCATACCACTATTTATCAGTTCTTTCTCTGGATGCAAGATGCAGATAGCAGCTTTCTACGCATGTCCTTTATAGTTAATTTGGTTATTTATAATAGTTAAAATGACTTATACCACTACTAGATCTATCTTCAAATATAATAGGCATTTAATAAATGCTAGCTGACTGATTAACTAGTTGTTCCTGCCAGATCTTGTGTTCTGAGGTCATAGACATCAAGACTCCAGGGTTACTTCTATGCCACAATGTGGCAACAACAAGGACTTAAAAATACTTATTTTGTAGAAGAGGGAGGAGGAAAGAAAGAATAAGGCAGATGCACAGAAGTGGTCTGATTGATAATAATGGAATATAGAGAGAATGAAGGTTTACTCAATTCTGATTTTACTTTTGCTTTGTCTGCCAGGGAAAATGGTTTTTGGTTTAGAAAAAACAGGACAAAAGTGGTTAATAAAAAGTTGATATCCAAGATAAGTAAGAAAGTACTATGAAAGTACATAACTGCACTTCATAAATTCAAATCACCACACCCTTGCTGAACTCTACCCTAGGGCACTAGAATAAGCCCTAGAATAGAAAGTATAGGCAAATAGGATCACTGGACCATCATCACATTCTCTGAAAAATCATGGTGAATGTGAAAGGTATCACTGTACTAGAAAAGAACAGATATTGTCCAAATTTCCCCCCCACGTGGAAGAGAATGTTATTCTCAAGTGATATTGACCTTAATTCCCAGAAAAATACTTCTTTAATATTTTGATGGATCTGTGATTTCATCAATCTGGCTATTCCCTCTAATAATGCAGATTGCAACCTACCTACACATTCTCATCCAAGCAAACTTTGTCCATATCCTCTACTAAATCCTCCACAGGGATCTGTGCCTTCCTTTAGATCTTTTAACATTGAGTGGATGCCAATGAAGTATAGGGATAGTTCATTGGTTATCCCTCCTTCTCACTACTTGGCTATGTTCTTTCTGATTCATTCATGTCTTTCTCTTATGCTGATTCTTCATTACTAAATTTATTTTAATCACCTCATGCTTAAAATGAGCCTCTCCTTTGAATGAGCCACACCTTTAATTCTGTAGAGACAATGGTATTCCATTACTCACAGACATACAGCATAATCATAGAAATGATGGTGTGAAAAGAATCAACCTTTATTTCAAGGAGAAGACTGGGGATCATTAAAGGCCCTAAACAATTTCCCAAAAGCAATCAATTCACTCAACTTCTCATATTCCATTCTGGACTCTGCTCATTGTGCAGAAATGGTGTCTGTCCAAAACGTAAGTGCTGATGAATGAGCTATATGAGTTGTTCATTCAATCACGTATTATACTACGGACAGCAGACATTCTTCATTCCCTTGTGTTTGCTCTTTTTCTATGCAGATAGTAAAAACTCTTTCAAGTGATTATGAATCTCATTTTGTAAGCTCTGCAATATCTAGGGCCTAAATATTATCATTACAATGTCATCTACAAACTCTCCACCATACCTGAAATGTTCTCCCTCTTCTCCATCACCTCCTGGCTTTCCTGGCTTCCTTAAAGATTTACCTCAAATCTCACCTCCCAACTCTCTTCCTTAATAAAATACACAGGATCTAGAGGCATAGGATTTCTCCACAATCTGAAAGGTCTTCTCTCTCATTTCTCACACCTGAACCTTTCCAATATTTTTGTTTATGTGCTTCCTTATGCCTACCTTTGCATTCAAGTCATCAAGTATTAAAAGATATTGTGGTTTCATTTGAGGGTCTTATCAAATTCTTTGTAGAATTAATTTTTCTACCTCCTCCTTTGCAACAGATGTTGATACATATACTGAATTATCTTTATGATCTTCTTGCAAATGCTTATCATGAGCACTGTAATACAAAATCACCAACTGTGCCATGGAATTATTATTTTTTGTTGCCTTCGGATGCACTATAAAATTAATTCCACCAACTCCTATTTGTCTCTCCAAAGAGAAACTATGAGTCATCCTCACATTTAGATACACCATTTTTTGTCTTCTGGTTTCATTTATAGTAAAAATGTCAAGATTTGTATGATTTTATAATATTTTAAAATATATGATTTTATACTGTATCCACTCACTGTATGAGGTTCTTGGATTTAGATCACCAAAAATTAAGTTAATGTTTATTTATGTGTGCTAACAATACTGTGTGCAATTATCAGAATCCACTATTTACCACCCTGTCTTTGAAGGAACAGAAGTCTACAAAGGTTGTATTTTTCTTTCTTCCATAGATTACCATTGCCAGGTAGCCAGCCTACTAGTGACGAGTTTTCTATACTAAAGCAGGCTGGTCCTTGGAAAGCAGACATAGTCTTTTATTTCAGCCTCTCTAGCACAGTAGAACCTACAAGTGCTTGTGTCCCACAAAAATTCTTAGACTAAACTGTGAAAAAGACAGTTTCTGAACATCTAAAAAAGTAAATAATGATAATTAGAGTCAGTATGGCTTAGTCAAGAGCAAGTCATTCCAGTTTAAACCTCATTTCTTTTCTTTCTGTTTTTTTTAAATTCAGTTTCTAGACCGGTAAATCAGAAAGAATATTTGTAGACAGACTGCCTAGATTTCAATAAAACATTTCATGAAGTCTCTCATATTATCTTTGTAGAGAAAATAGAGTGGTATGAATTAGACAGAAATACCAGGAGGTTGATATAAAACTGTTTGAAAGACCAGTCTCAAAACATAGTGAATAACAAGTCCATTTCCACTTAGTGGAAGGTTTCTAGGGTAGTCCCAAAAGGCACTACCTGTACTGTTGACCCTCTACTGTTTAACAATTTTTTTTCCAACATAAATGAATATATAAATAGCGTGCTTACTAAATTTGGAAATGACATACAGAAGAGTGAGCAAGAGAGCTAATACCTCTATCACAGAGTACACAAAAAGATTTCAAAAGGTTAGAATGAAGGAATGAATTTAATAAATAAAATTACACAGCAGTAAGCTTAAAGTCAGAGACAAGTTAAAAAAAACAAAAAAATTTAACAAATATCAGATAAAAATGGCACAGCTAAAAAACCCTTCACAATAAAAAATTGGAGATTTTAAATTTATAGTACAAAATGGAAGCCAAAAAATGCTAATTCTGTCTTAGAATACATTAAGAGAGATAGCATGTCTAGATTGAAGGAGGTGATCTCTCTATTGTACTCTGTACTCCTCGACCTCAACTGGAATATTATATTAAGTCCTTGGTACCACATTTTCTAAAGGATATCAACAAACGATGATAACCTCCAGAGGAGGGAAACCAGGATATTGAAAGGTCTCAAGATGCCATATGAGGATCAGTTGAAGGAACTGAAGATGCTGTGAAGGAAGACAAGACTTAACATGGTAGTTGTCTTCTAGTACTAAAAGTCTACCCTGTGGGGAAGGAAATATATTTGCTGTTTGCTCCAGAGGCTAGAAATTGATGCAAGTTACAGAGAGACAGATTTAAGGTGTCAACCATTTTTAACTATTCAAAAGTGGAATGGCCTGCCTTGATGGAGTGGATCTCTTCCTCAATTTCTTCTATCAAATAACAAATTAACTCATTGGAGATGTTGAAGAAGGAATTCCTATTCAGGTATGGATTGGACAAAATGACCTCTGAGTTGTTGCTCAGTTCTAAGTATACAATCCAATGAATTCATCAAACATTTTGAAGGACCTTAAATGTGCCAATTGCTGCTCTAGGAAGCTGAAGATAACAAAGATGATAAACAAAGTTACCCCTTTCTCCAAGTCACTTAACAATTGAGTAGGTAGATGAATAAGCCAGTTTACAAATAAATATAATACAAAAAAATGAAAGTGCATTAAGAAGTACAAACAAAACAATATGAAAATCCATTGGAAGGAAGTGTCATCTCTAGTTTTAGAGGACAGAAGAAAGGGAAGCTCAGCAAAACCAATTTATGAAAAGACTGAATGATTCTTAAATAGGATCTTATGAATTTCATTGCATTTATAGTTATTTTAAACCTCAAAAGATCTCCATTTTTTACAAATGCAGATATTCACTCCATGCAGATTAAAAGCCATCCAAGCCTTGATAGGCTATTCTTTATAAGATTCTTTGGAGGAAAAAATGATACCACCTGAATCTTCCACTGATAAACCTGTTTGAATTTGGTAGGGCTTGTCCCTCCAAGATAATCACACAGTCTGTCACCTGGCAGTATTGCCACTTGGTATGACCTATCGGTATACATTTTGTTGCCTTTGAAAAATTAAGGTCACCTCCAATCCATGAGAAGGGATCAGAGTCTGATCTTAGTGGAGGTGTTCAACACAACTGCAAGTAATTTCATATTGGCATCTGTAAAATTCTTTCAAAATATAATGACATCTCAGTTTATTTTTAACGCCCCCTACTAGTGTTCTCTTGTATTTCAGTGCGGCTATCTATCTATAAATGAACACATTTCTGAAAATTTATACAAGTATACTTTCACAAAGCTGGTAAAATAGAGTTCTTGAAGTAGCTAGATACTTACAAAGGTTTGGAGAAGACTACTCCTTTCATTTTTAATTTCTGCGTACTGTTTTTCTAAGCCATTTTCATGAGTCTTCAAAAGCTCAAGGAGGAAGGCTTTTTCAGAAAACTGATGAGACTTCAAAGTGAGAAAAAAAAATTTGAATGAATTAATAAGTACATTTTCAGAATGTCTTAGATGATATTGTAAAGAGATGAATAGTGTCTTTATTTTTCTTTAAAATGCAAATTCTGAAGAACTCTTAAGGCACTTAAAAGTATAAAACACATTTAAGAATTTTATTATATATGAGCTATTTTGTTCCCTAATTGCTTCACATGTTCAAGTCTTTCTCCCCAACAAGGCCATAAGCTCCCCAAAGCAACTAGCATGATGATGGGCATTAATTTGTACTGAATTAATCCTTCTTGATATGATATATATGTTTGTTAGCCATTTGCTTTTAAAGAATGAGGCTTTCAAGAGAATTGTTTTTCAGATGGAACCATGAAGTAATGAGACTACTTCCACAAGTTCAGACATTAAAATTGGTCTCATTACTTTACTATCATACTTATCAACTGCATGTTTGTTTGCTGACATTCCTCAAATACAAATACACTTTTGGGCTCATTTTTCTGCTCTAGTCCTGAACATGGTTCTAAATGGCAAAAGGGCCAACATAGGCATTTATATAAGATATGATATTATTATTTCCCTTTTGGTCCTAAAATAAGGGTCTTTAGAAAGCATTGAATACTAGAGTGAAAGTTCTAAAGCTTTATGAATGAATTAATTTATTACATGTTTCAAAGAGCTATAATTTTGTTCTGAATACTTCCTTCATTGATGCTTATGTCAGCCTTTCTATGCTTTCATATAAAAACTCTGTTAATTGCTCCAGTTGAGGACAAAAATTTAACAAAAAATCTTTATACCCAATGGACAAATTTCTGGCAATGAATGTCTGCAAATGTTAGCCAGACTACAGATTGTTAGCCTGACATGCAGTTTATATCTAGACCCATATTTAAATCTTTGCACAGGACCTATCACAGTGCTTTGGCATGTCTCTAAAGAGCCGCAGGTAACCTACATGCTATAATGAGATGATGAAACAGCATTGTAGTGGAGAAGAAATGATAGACGCTAAAATGATACTAAATTAAAAGTTATCTTTCAATCGTGTCTTTTTTAAATGCAGAATATATCACATACAGTGTATTATTACATACACAATAGAGAATATGGAACTGTTCCCAAACTCAGAGAAATTAATTTTAAAATGTTTTGATAAATTATAGAGAAGTTTATCTTAAGTATAGAAGTTTCTTAGTTATAAGAGAACATAAATTTTTTTTCTAGGAAATTTTGAAGGAAAATCTTAAGTAGAAAAGGGCTTGTTAAATATTTAATCCTAAGAACCAGACCAAAAATTTGGGAACAAAATTATTATTCTTTCAGTTTTCAAAGGAAGAAAAACAAAAGGCAAAAAAGAAAAAGGCATCTTATCACCAGGTGCTGGTTTTCTATATTTGGTTGCAACTGAAGTCACCACCACCAATTATCTACAAAGAAAATCTGAAGAATCTTCTCCAAAATTTAAAAGAAACTTAAGCAAAACTAACCAGATTCCCTAGATAACACTGACAGAAACCCTGGGGACTACTCTCGCCTTCCTCAAGTACAGTGAAAGAGAAGCCCAAATTCATGATGGGAACTGAGGATCTTAGGATCATCCTAACCAGTTTCTATTCTGGCTAAAACTCAAAACATACACATGGGAAGAGCACAATATACTTACATACTTTCAGTTATGATTATATTGAAAATATTAGACAGAATGATGAAATTTTTAGATACTATGTTGACCTGGAACCCAGAATTTAAATCTTGACCCTGAGGCAAAGGACTACAGTGAAAGATACTTTGAGATGTTCCAATTTTAAAAAAATAATCAGATACCAATAATAGCTAATATTTATATATTGCCTTAAGTGGTTTACATATACTATATCATTTGATCCTCATAACAACTCTATGAGGAAAAAGCTATCATCTCCATTTGTCAGATTAGGAAACTGAGGCTGGGAGAGATTCAGTGACTTTCCAAAGACACACAGCTAGTAAATAAATGTCTGAGGCAAGATATGAACTCAGGACTTGCTGACTTCAAGTCAGAACGCCATCTATTAATAATCAAGAAAAGTACTGTTGAAAACAAAACATCATTTTATCCTATATTTGCACCAAAACAAGATACATTAAACCCTACCTGAAATGCTTCATCTTGTTTTGGTCCCCACACCTCAATTAAAAAAAAAAAATTCAATTAAATAAATAAATAGCAGCAAATGGAGAGAGAGAGAGAGAGAGAGAGAGAGAGAGAGAGAGAGAGAGAGAGAGAGACAGAGAGACCTTATATCACCAAAGGAGTGGATGAAATTCCAGATGAAGAAAGATTTTAAAAATTAGGACGCTTTAGAAAAACAGGGGCTCAGAGGGGATATGAACAAAATCTATAAAATTCCAAAAAGTATGATTACAGTAAATTTGGTTTTGGTAGTTTTCTTTTGCTTTTCTTTCCTTGAAAGCTTGAAAATTTACCTAGATCAGACATTTGGGGGGCTGGTATTTGCCCTTTTCTCTCCAAAATCTGTTCCTTCTGGTTTCCTACATCTGTCAACAGCACATCACCATTCATTCAGCCAATAAATCAGCAAGCACTTATTTAGAATCTTTTTTTGATAGAATGCTAAGTGCTAGAGATATAAAGACAAAAGTCCATGACTGCATGGAGTTTGCATTCTATTGGTGGAAATAATATGTACACATATAAGTAAATACAAAATTTATATGCCAGAAAGAGAAGATGAGTTGGTCATGGGCCCAGAATGAGAGGTGACAGATAGATGACCTTTCAGATGTCACAGAAAATGAGGAAGATCTCCAGCATATTTGGTAGACTCCCAAGAATGAGTTACATGGAATAGGCAATCATAGAAGAATTGCAATATAAGTCACTGGAGTGAATTTCTGAGTTGATAAGCTCACAGATCCATATGAATGTGTTTATTACATGACTCTAATAAAATACAAAGTAATTTTTAAGGAGCTAACTATCTGAGGGAAGAAGCATAGAGAAGGTGGTAAATTTTAAGAGGTGGAGATGAGGAGACTGCCTGGGAGACAATCTGTTTGCAAAGGCATAGGGACAGGAGATAGAATAAGAAACATTAATTAAGGTAGCTTCACTGATATATTGAAAGGTTGAATGTGCATTAAGACTGGAAAAGTAGGCTGAAGCCAGCTTAGGAAAGGATTTAAAAGCCAAAACGAGTTTATATTTTACCTAAAGATAACAAGGAGCTACTGGGGCCTCTTGAATAGGGAGTAGCATGATCAGACCTGTGCTTTAGGAAAACAACAATGAATTCTAGATAATGTGAGTTCTCAGACTAGAAACTACCACCAATTACTTTTTCCTCCTTTTTTTGATGATGGATCAACATTGAGAGTGGACTTTCTCAGCACATAAGGCAGGAGAAGCAGTGTATTTCAGAGTTCCTGAGGAGGTATATGGCAAGGGAAGGTGTGCTTCTCAATTCTGTGTGGGTTGGAAAGAGAATTCCTAGATAATGTGAATTACTGAGGGTTGCCTCTCTAACAGCCACAAGTTTGAGAAGTCTGGTTCTATCTACCCTGATGGGATCCAGCCTTTTGTCCAAAACAACTCAAAGATTCCTGGGAAGCACCAGCCTGTGGGGGGTTGCCTCATATGTAAGTAATAGGGACGTAGACTTTTAATCAAGGAAAGGAGAATTTTCTGAACAGCAAGACTCTTAGAAAGAGAAGGCTGCCCTGAGAGGAGTAAAAGCCAGGAAATAAAGTCAAGATGTAAAGAAACAAAGGACTTGTAATTTATATCCACTATTACAGTGAGTTATTTGGAATCCCACAAAGAGGTGAGTTACCTTATCTAACAGACACATGGGAAGTTCTTCTTTCTCTTTCTCTTCTTGGGGAGTTAGGGAGTCCAAATCCTCAGAGTAGTTCCATAAAGGTAAATAGCTAAGTGCATCTTTGCAGGGTTAAATGTGGATTCCTCAGAATACGGGGCTGTTCTCTATCTAGCAGCTCTATGTTCAGCTCTTGCCCAAGAGAAGTCCAAGCCACAGGGTGGCAATAAGTATGGAGAGCTTTAGGACACTGTAGGAAAATGTAACTCAAAGAAAAAGAATTATATTGATTATTTATGAGTTATTATTAGTCCTTTATATGTTTTCTGTGTTTGTTTCTGGTCTTCCACATGTCCTTTACATTCCTTGCACTTTTTTGTAATATAAAATAAAGGTTGGCTTCTACCTGATATGCTATGCGCTCTCTCTCTCTCCTCTCTCTCTCTCTCTCTCTCTCTCTCTCTCTCTCTCTCTCTCTGTCTCTCTCTCTCTCTCTCGCACACACACACACACACACACACACACACACACCTTGAGTGCTTGAAGCCAAGACACAAGCTGTATTTGGAAATTCTACCAGGATAAATTCTGGGTGGCGGCAATACTACTAAAATAGTGATTTAGGGGTTAGCCCCCAAGATTAGACCTCAGCTCAAGTGTCACTTCCTATATAAAGACTTTCTTTATCTTGTACCCCAGCTGCCATGACCCTCTCCCAAAATATTTACCTTGTGTTTATTTTGGATATATGTATTTATGTTGCATCCTTAGATAGAATGCAAGCTTTTCGAAGATAGGATTTATTTCATTTTAGTTTTTGTATCATCAAGGCCTAGTAAATTGCCTAATTTATAAAGGCGATTAAAACTGGCTTATTGATTGATTGATTGATTGATTGATTTCATGCTTCTGAAAAAAGTGCTATAACTATTTTAGCTTTGAGGCAAATGAAGGGAATTCTGTCCCTGAGAATAGTAAAGGTTAAAATTTTAAGCAGGTTCAAAAAATGTATATATGAATTTGTGGACAATAGGTCTACCTTGGGTCATTAAGAAACACTTAGGATCTTTGATGTTCATTCTTAACCTTTAAAGGCTCACGTCTTGGATACAAACCGTATCTTTCTACAAAATGTCTCAGAAATGGAACACTAGGCTAACTTTAACCTAATTAGCTATT